AGAGGAGGGAGAGAGAGGAGGGAGAGAGAGGAGGGAGAGAGAGGAGGGAGAGAGAGAGGGAGGAGTGGGGGTGGGGAGAAGGGGAAGGAATTAGTTTATTGCTGTAAGATCTGTGCTCGAAGAAACACAAAAGGATGGCCTTCTAACTGAAACTATCTCTCCCTCTCCCCATCCCTCTTTCCTTTTCTTCTCTACTTCCTTTCCTTTTCCCTCTTGGTCTGTCTCTCTGGAGAACAGAGAAACATGAAAAGAAAGTATCTTCAAAAACAGGGATCAGCAATATACTGAGCGAAGTTAATACACTAACAGTAATTCAGGAAACAGTTGATAATAATGAGCATAGAGCATTGTCCCCAAACATAACCTTTATAGCACCCTCCGAAGGCTCAGGGAATATTACAGAAGAAGGGCTGAAAGGAACATAAGAGCCAAGGAGATCAGAAGGGCTCTAAGTGCTGCCTCTGGGGCATGGCACAGCCGTGGCAAACCTGCTCACACAGCAGCTGTGGGCACCTACTACTGAGCCGCACAAAGCTGGGCCTGTCAACAGCCAACCATAGATCAGGAGATACTCATGGGTCCCTGAACCTGAAAGGACCAGGCAGATGCCATAACAGGCTGCTCAGTCTTCTCTCAGAGATCAGGCTTCAATTTCAGTTTCCTGAGACTTGAGCTAGTAGTTTCTGAAAGGGCCATGCACAAAAGACATAGTCCTTGCAGTAGCTCCCTTTCTACACGTACTCTGACTGCTCAAGGTTCAGCCAGTTGTTTACTGTCTGGGACCCCTTACCAACTTAGAGCTATGTGCATGGGTCAATGTGAGAGCCTGAGCCACTGAGCCAGCCCCCACAGTCAGTATGTACTAGGCCAGCCAGCCTCCATGGCCGCTTAAGGACAAAGTCTGGGACTTGTCCAGGCCTGCCCAAAAATGGATAACGGTAACCACCAACTGACCCTAGCCAATTAAAAGTTACTAACATGATTGCCACTCGCATAAATCCTGAGTTTGTTCCTATGTAGTCTGTAGACGCCCAACCTTCCATTGCTTTAACACCCTGTCCCATTGCTACTCAGGGTCTCTCCTGCTCTGCTGCTGCGTCAGACAGACAGAGAGTCCCAAGTTAACATGCAGTAAAAAGACTCTTTGCTTTGCCTTGGGTTTGGTCTCTTGGTGGTCTTTGGGAGACTCTGGGTACAACCACCCTCCCTGCTGAACTTATGGCAACTGATGGACTCTGACAGAGGGACAGTCATTGTCTTCAGTTGTTCCAAGCAGTGATCCCACCAGGCTCCAGCTGAGAGTTTCAAGCTGTGGCTAGTTGGACAGTTACCATCAGTAGGTCACAAAATAAAACAAAAAGACATGAAGATGGGTAAGGGTCCTGTATGGTGAAGGGTGTTGGGGATGACAGAGACGGGAGGGAGACAAAAGAGTCAAAGTAAATAGAATGCTCTCTATTCATGTATGAAACTGTCAAAGAACAAAGTTAATCAATTAAAATGATTTCATAAGAAAGTTTAAAATTGAAAGATACGTGCAATATTTGAAAGATGAATGTTTCAGAAAGCCAAGTCAGGATGTAGTAGGATGCGATGAAAGAAAATAAGAGGCCAGCTCTCAGGGGCCCACCACTAACTCACTAAGATTCAATCAAACAACATAAAATACAAGCTGGAGAGGATAAGAAAAAAAATGGACTCCCTGGACATTACTGTTGTTGGACTCCTTGGAAAATCTAAATTGCTGCAGCTACTTTAGAAAACTTTAGTGTCCCCTTTAAGAATGACATAAAATTACCATGTGAACCAGAAAGTCCACTTCCAGGTGGCCATCCAAAGAAGCACAAACTCAAACTGGTTCTTGTGGACTGGTGTTCATAGAGTAGAAAAAGCCCAATTTAATCCATCTTAATGTGTGTGTACTGGTTAGATTTAATTGTCAACTTGACACCATCTGCAGTCACCTGGGGAGAGAGTCTACCTGAGGGATTATCTAGATCAGGATGACTTGTGGGCTCCTTTGTGGGTGATTATCTTGATTGTATTGAGGTGGGAAGACATGCACTGTGGGCAGCATCATTCCCTATGCAGATGATCCTGAACGGTGTGACAGTGGAGAAATCCAGCTAAGCACTAACATGCCTGCATTAATTTGTTCTCTCTCTGCTCTTGACAGTGGATGTGACCAGCTGTTTGAAGTATCTACTGTCTTCCCTGCCATGATGGACTGTAACATGGAACTGTGAACGAAAAATAAACCTGTTCTCCCTTAAGCTGCTGTTCATGGCAGTACTTTATCACAGCAACAGGAAATGAAGCAAGGACAGTATAGCATACATGTAAGTGAAATCAAATGAAGCCAGTAAAAGGAACAGAAATCTAAACATGATAAACCTGGAGACAACATGCTAAGTGAAATAAAGGGTCAAGTACCCTTTGGTAGTTGACACGATTTCTCTCACATAGACACAGATATTAAGTGGATCCTGTGATCCCACTGATATGAAACATCTAGAATAGGTAAATTAGTATAACAAAATATATTAGAGTTCAATAGAGGTAAGAATTAAAAGGAAGAATATGATGCTATTACTTAACAAGTATACAGTTTGAGTTTAGTAATGAAAATACGGAAAAGGCTGATAAAAAGAGGTAGTCAAGTAATATAAAAGGATGATTAGAACTTACCTGCTTAGACATATTTTCTGAAAATACTGGTGATTTGTCTTTTAAACATGAAACAAGGTCGTCGTAAATTTCACCTTGTCTCTCATAATTAATTTCCCCCTCCTCTTCTTTTTTGCCCTTTGGGAGGAAAGGTTTGATGGAATGATTAATGGAATAGTCAAGAGAGGAACCAGATCAGAACATCAGAGCCTATGCATAAATATTGGTGTTTTTCATTAAGTTTGTTTAGACACTCTCATACGTATATGAATGCATTTCAGTTACTCTCACTTCCAGACTTTTTTAAAATCTCATTTCCATCCCTATCAATCCTCCCTACCCTCTACCAATCCTTATCTCATGTTCATGATTATTTTGCTAAAAGGTTACACATAGCAGTCATTGTGTATGATGTGTATAGGCAAGATCCTTCCCCTTGAGTTATTCCATCATTCATTTTTGTTTGTTTGGTTTTATCCAGACAGGGTTTCTCTATGTAGTTTTCATGCCTGTCCTGGATCTCGAGAGCTCTGTAGACCAGGCTGGCCTCGAACTCACAGAGATCCGCCTGGCTCTGCCTCCCGAGTGCTGGGATTAAAAAACGTGCACCACCACCACCACCCAGCTTCATCATTTATCCACCCATCCCTCGCCATGTCTGAGTACCTCCTCTATGTAGAGCTCTTATGCTCAGCCAGTGACATCCCTTCCACTGCTCTCCTCTGCCGTGAAAATACATTATGACTCCAAGAACCTTAGCTGATGAAGTCACAAAAGGCCCAGGCACAGAGAAAAGCCTCTGTCTGGGAATATTCTTGTTCTTGTCTGTGTGTAGCACATTGCTGAGTTCATTTTCCAGGATTAGCACTCTGTAGATCCTCCTGGCTCTTCTTCCCCTGTTCGTGTCCCCTCCTCCACCTGCTCTGCCTTTTCTTCATTTCCTTTTCTCCCTTATTGCATTATTCCACCATAAGTTACAAAAACACACAACTATACTGCTTTTAATATTTGGGAATTAAAAACACTGGCTCTCAGTATTTGAGTTTTTCTTTTAAATCTGAGAGAAATATCTAATGTTTCCCAATATAATCTTTGATAGAAACAAAGGCTGCTTGATCCTCTCTATAAGGTCAAAGAATTCATTCCTTCTTTGATCTTATTCTAACTAGAAATTTTACTTTTCTAAGATATCAGACAAACCAATAAGAATTATGACCCGCTTTCTCCATGCAGAAATACGTCAAGTTAACTGATAATGAGGAAAAAGCATTCAAAAGTGCCAGAAGATTCTAGAAGGTCATCCTAGAGGTGGTACCAGGACCCTCAAACCAACACAGGCAAATAAACCCCAAGTTCACACTGAAGGTTCCAAAGCTGAGATGTTACTGAGGAGGCAGCTAAACTGCTCCTGGCTAGTTCAGGGACTCAAAAAGAGAACAGAACTTACATGTCCTAACCTGGGGCTCTCAGAGGATGTGTGTGGCTCCTCGCTTCACTCGGAGGCACCTGCCCAAATTTCCGTCATTAGTCATGGAATCTAAACTTAATTTCTGTTTGTGTAGGTTGGGTTAGGTTCAGGTAGCAAGGATCAAAGAAAGAATGTCCCTCCTTCTCACGTGCCCACTAACCCAATGGGTCAACCCAGTAATAGGTTTTCACTCCCATGCTTCCCGTGTGGATGGTTGATTCTGATGTCCAGTGTCTCCTTTTCCCACAGGCTCCCAGAGACATCATTTAGTGGATGACTGGTGCTCCACCTTCACAGGCCCAGGTCCCATGTCTGCCGCCTCCTGAGTTATCAGCCCACATTGGGCAGCATCCACTCCCCCCAGCTGAGATCTGCTTTGTCAAGACTCTCTGAGCTCCGCAGGATGCAGTGCAGCCTAGAAGGGGCCCCTCCCCAACTGTCTGCACCCCAGTTGCTGGAGCTCTTGCTCCTGGCTTCCATACTGAAGAACTTTCTCTGCTCCCTTGCCCTTGAACTCTTGGGATGTAAGCTACAGTCATTTCTGAAATTGCCTGGGTTTTTTTGTTTTGTTTTGTTTTCCTTTTGCCCTTTTCTGTCTTCAATCTGTGTGTAGCTAATCTGGGAACCAATTCTGTTAAAGGGATTTTAGTTTGGAGATGTGGGAAGGGTTGCTTCTGAGCCCATTTTTTCAAAAACTGGCTCCATGCCCAGCAGTGACCACCACCGATGCTGATTCTAAGATGTTTTGGGAGTCGCACAGGAGGTGCATTGAAAAGGATGGGGCTTCTGTCTCTCAGAGCAATGCTCCTCTGTCTGTCGTCATCAGGACACAACTCACAATACAAGCCATTCCTCAGACACTTAGCACAGAGCCCCAGACATCTTGGTTTTGTTACATTTCTTGAAAAAGTACTTACACCATTTAAAAACACCCCTTCGGCACTGCAGGTGATACACAGAGTTTCCACGTCATGTGGCTTTACCAGCACGTAACAGATTTCCCCTCGAATCTGTCTCCACGGTGGGGCACGACACCCATTTGAAAATTCATAATCTGAAACCAGTGATGAAACCGTAAGTAGGTGGAGTTCAGTTTAGCAAGTTGAAAGTATATCTGCTTCAACAAAATAGGTGTTGTGGGATATGAGAGAGCGCATTATTTTGAATATCTAACTGGAATACACCCATGGGATAGTGTTTCAAACACAGTTGTGAAAATATAAATGATGTCAGACGAACCTGAGAAGACACAAACCTGAGGTATATTCAATTGACTCCAGAACTGTCAGCTCCCCTTTTCCGGAGAAACGTTTGAGCAGTTCAATATCTTTCTTAAACCTCGTTGGATTCAAATGGATCTCTCTGAAACAAACGTTCAAAAATCAAGGGCTTTGAAACTGAATCTAAAGAAAACACATGGATACATGCCATAATATGTATGGGGGGGTGCCTACTTGTAATTAGGGCTGAAGTTCATTTTACCCATATTGGAATCATGCATCATCACCAGCAAAAATCTCAAGAAATTCGCATTGACCCAGGTTTTATACAGATGAAGAAAATCTTGTGTATATATTATCCATACATGTATGATGTGGAAGTAGAAGGTAAAATGTCCAGAGAAACAAAGGGGACCAGTGGACCAGAGAAAGAGGGAAGAGATTCTCAGAAAAGGAAGCTATGAGAGTGAATGTCTTAAACATACGATAAGTAAGTGCATATCTAAAAGTTTGAAGAATAAAATTAAAAAGTAAACAGAAAAGAAAATCATATCTATAATAACACTAAATACACATAACTATTCATTTCTTTTTAAAATTGCTTCTTTATTTATTTGTGTGTATCTGTGTGTGGGCGCATGTTCATGTGTTAAGGTCATAGGGTACGTTGTGGGACTAAGTTTTCTTCCTCCTCCATGGGATGGAACTCAGGCCATCAGGCTTGGCAGCACCTCTCTTTATCTGCGGAGCCATCTTGCCTACCCTCCAGTGTTCATTACATAATAATAGTAACACACTTCTGGGAAATACTAGAAATAGCTGGGCAGTGGTGGCACACGCCTTTAATCCCAGCACTTGGGAGGCAGAGGCAGGCAGGCGGATCTCTGTGAGTTTGAGGACAGCGTGGTCTACAAAGTGAGTTCCAGGATATCCAGGGCTGTGACACAGAGAAACCCTATCTCAAAAAGCAAAAAAAAAAAGGGGGGGGGGAATACTAGAAATATGAGCACTAGTTATACTCCACAAACTCTGCATGCCATTTGTGTTGTCACTTAATAATATGTGCCATTATCTAAAGAGACTTTGAAAATCACCAGGTGTTTAATGCCTTCTGACCTAGAGAAAACCCCACTAGACTGACCATATTGACTAAACGTGTCATCAGATCTTACATAAATAAATCCAATAGAAGGGACGTTTTGTTCCTGTAAACTGAAATGTTAACTCAGTAGTAGTAACTTCTATACTTTTCTTGTATTACTTTCTAAAAGGCTGAAAGCAATTTTGTAACTGATCTGGAGCTGTTTCTCTTAGCACTCACAGTGAGATGTGCTTTAGAGAATGATTGAGCAGATGTAGGTCCAGCTGCTTTAGCAGGATGGCGATTTTCCTTTTAATAAGCATTTCATTGTCTTTGGTGATCGTATCAAGAATAGCTAAGGTAGCAGACTCGTTCATTTCACCATACTCCGAGCCCAAGATTTTCACTATAGGGTCTCTGTTAGCTGAAAAAAAAAAAAACATCAACATAAATTATAAAGATTACCCAGTGCAACAAAGACTAAGAAATCCCACCAAATTCTCCTTGATTGGTTCCTTGCGTTCAGCTACCTCTGGCCGAGCCTGTTGGGTTCCTCTCTCCTTCTGGGAGTCTGTTATACTAGGAACTGTCTTACACCTCTTCATATGCTCTTCCTTGCAGTGTTCCGGCTGTGTACATTCTCTCTCTAGTGAGACCAAAACCAAGACTAACTCCCTTCTTCCGCTGACTGTCGGAAGTCGTGAGCCATAGATACATTCAACTCACATGGTCAGAGATGGTTTGAAGAGAAATGGTTTTGCCAACAAGATCCATCACTCAAGCTCTCTGAACCTGTGGCTCCACCTGCCACTGTCCTCACTCCTTGTCTACATCTGTGTCTATGCCTGCCACTGTTCCCCATTCCTAAGCCCTTTCTTTCCCAAGCAGGCTTCCTTCTCTCTACTACAGGTTTGCGGCAGTTTTTCCACATGCTTCAAGTGCCCAACTTCTCAGTGCCTTTTGGTGCACACAGGCTGACCTCCTCATGCTAACAATTGGGAAAAACCAATGCAGCCAACATTTGCGCGTGTTCCGAGACTGTGAAGGACAAGTAAAAACTCATGGCCAAGATGATACAGAAACAGAACTGGATCCTAGAGATGCCGAAAATAGAGTTTTTAAATGTCAAAAACAATATAATTGAAAATAAGGAAAAATGAGAAAACCTTTGTCTAGAACAGAACATTCTAGAAAAATAAAACTCTGGATTTATTGGGATGTGGAAAGACAATGTCCATGAGATGAATTCTAAAAGTCTGACTGGACTGAAATGATGACATTAACTCTCCAACAGGAAGTGAGCTATGCCACAGAAGACTGCCTTGTGTGGTTTGATGTGAGACAAGAAACAGGACCAAGGAACAGGCCACGTATCAAGCACTTCAGCTTACCTACCTTGTTGCTGTTGTCTAATAAAGATTTTTAAAAAGACACACACACAAGAAAAAAAAAATGAACTGCAAGGGAGGACCTGACTTCCAAATGGTCATGTGCTATGAAACTGGGTTGAATGAAGACCTCACTGGAAGAACAAAATCCATTAAAGAACGAGGATCATTTAGCTAAAGCAAGGATGTAGTGTTCTCTGGATTGTCTCCTCTGCTAACTACTGTCTTGAATCTGGCTCTGCACTGGAGATGTCATCCCTACTCCAAGAAGCAGCTTTGTTGTATAGGTGGCTACATAATGAGAAGTGGGAATGGGATAAAATGAAGCTGCTTGTAGACAATCATGTTGCAGAGGTAAGTGAAGGATGTCAGTACCCTGTTCTTTGCCTTATTGAATGCTGGGTCTGCACTGAACCTGGTTCTAGGCTGGCAGTCAGCTCCAGAGACCCTCTGCCTGTCTCCACCCCCACAGTGCTGGGGTTACAGTTACACACAACTCTGCCCAGCTTTTATGTCACTTTTGGAATTTGAACTCAAGTCTCAATGCTTGCATAAGTTGCATACCAACTGAGCAATCTCTCCAGCCCAAACATCTTCCTTTTTAAAGGAGCATTCTCTCACCTCACATAGAAGTGGGTAGAATTTAGTTAACCATATTCCTGGAATCTACTGGTCATCTAGTCTAAGCCCACAAAAGACACAGGATATACCATTACCTATCAGTGGGTGTTTCTCCTGATGGGAAATGTGTGTAACTCAAGTGTAAGAGGCACCCAATCACAGTATTTTTCACATTAAACACTTCGAATGAATGATGATGAGGTTAGTGTATTTCTTCAATGAAAGAGAAACTTTGCTGAATGCATATAATTATTCACAGAAGGCTGTGATTTCATAAATGAAACACAGTTGAGGAATGAGAAGGGAAGATAAGAAGGGCTGTGTCCTCCAAAGAAAGAGTTCAAATCCCTCTTGACGGAAACACTGTGATGCAGAGCACTGTGTGCCAAGGGGAGGTAGACTCAGGCTGGTCCCGGGAACATGGCTTCTAACACGACCTTACAGACTACAGGTCACTGGGCCTTCCAAAGGCCACTGGGCCTTCCAGAGGCCACAGGTTAAAATGAGAAACCTAGAAGCCTACTGGTGACACACCAGACTTCTCATCTGATGCAGAAACGGGATGTGGGGCGTTGACAGCTCAGCCAAGGGAAAAAAAAGAATGGCATTCTCAGGAAGCGGTACACACGACTTTTAAATCTTTTACAGGGCAGAATTTTTTTCAAGAGAATATAATAAAGGCCTCCCCCTCCCCCAAGACTGTGCGTCTGCAAGTTCACATGCCAAGTGGAGGGTGCAGCTCACCTTCAATACAGGCTTGTACCTCCTGCAGCTTGTTGCCTTTGGTAATGCTTAACAACTGTGACAGTTGCCCAAAGCTCCGGACTTTAATCTGAGGCACAGAGAGAAGCAGCAGGGCCTCTCCATCTCTGTCGACTTCTTCTGATTTGACTGTAGTATCGCTACGAAATGGGGGAGCGGGAGATGGAAGCTGAAGTTACCTTCACGCCAAAAGACATTATGAAGATGTTTTGACGGGCATCCCCCCCAGTCTCCAGGAACTAGAACCGGTTTCTTCCTCTGCACCCTCACGCTGTGAGACCCAGGCCTCCCCATCCTCCCCCACAGTGCCTAGAGTTCACTCTGAACTCAGTTAAGTCACAGTTTCCAGGTTTGTTTCTTGAAGGATCTGCCTTTTTCTAGGGTCTTTTTGAAAAGCTCACTGGTTCCACCTAGGCACACACACGCTGGGGTTTTCAGATGTTACCTTATT